CGTCGATTGCCGAGATGGTTGGTCTTCCTCCGAATTGGTTTGCTGAGAGTGTGCCTAGGATTTCTCCAGCGGTGCAGAGTCTTTGGGCCACTATCTTCTCCAGGATTTTGCTAAAGCATTGTAGAAGGGATATGGGCCGGTAGGCTTTTGCTTCATAATAATTTGCTTTACCGGGTTTCGGGATCGGGATACACTTAGCTACTTTCCATTCCGCTGGGTGTACGCCGTGCCGGAGCATAGCGGAGAACATGTCTTGGATTAGAGTTGTGTTTGCTTTGACTATTGCTTTAATAAAGGTATAAGGGATGCCATCCGGGCCGGTCGCCGAGTGCGCTGGGCAGGAGTCGATTGCTTTGTTAAGTTCTTCGGGGGTGACTATGTCGAAGGTGTTGCTAAGGTCAAAAGAGGGGGGTCTAATGTTCAAGGGGGGGTGGTCGGGGGACGTCCGTTTCGAGGGGAAGAGTTGGGCTCTTAGAGCTTGACACTTCCCCGCAAACGTTTCTTCACCTTGTATGGTTGGTATGATTGTGTCTCGTCTTTTTCCTGCGCTTAGGATTCTCCAGACTTCACTACCTTTCGCCTCGTTCATCGTCTTTTCCCGCTGGTCCGCTTTCGCTTTCCGGATCATGGCTGTCCATTCTCTGCAAGCCTTCCGGTGTTCCTCCACGTGATTGGATTTCCTTGTATTTCTCGCCTTCCTTTCTGCTGCGTTTACCCTTGCCTTCATCTGTTTCATCTCATCTGACCACCAGGAGTTGGCTTTTACCCCCTCCTTCGAGAGTGGTGTTACTATGCTGACTGTTGACCTAACCAGTTCTAGGAAGAAATCGACAGTTTGTTCCGTGTGTTCCTTGGTTTCCCATGCCTCTGCAGGGATGGAGATGTTTGACATGTGGTTCTCCAATAGCTTCCAGTCTGTTTGTCGCCACATTCGTCTTGGTACAAAAGGTGGTTTTTCCAGGTGTAAGTGGACGGAGGTTCTCCCGTGGTCTGAGCCAACTCCGTAGGGTTCAGTACTCCATCGTAGGTTGTGGTCGAGTGTTGGGCCTTTTACAAATGCAAGGTCGATGGTTGTGGGCCTTTTCCCTCTGTCTCTGGGGAAGTGCGTAAAGACGCCTGGTTCGTTCAGGAGGGTCAGTTTCTGTCGGGTTATCCATCGTTTCAACCGTGCGCCGTTGACGCGGTCTGCTCGAATGTTGTTTCTGTATTCATGTGAATTTACTCCGTACCACATTTGATGGTGGCAGTTGAAGTCTCCCATTACTAGACAGTTATCAAGGGTTTGGATTGTACTTGCTATTTGAGCGAAGGGGCCACTTCGGCCTGGGGAGTATATGTTTAGGATTTGGGTTTTCTTGGTCTGGATTTCTACCGTAATCGATACTATGAAGTTATCATGTGTATAGTGGTGTTTTGGTTTAAGGTTGGCATGTTTGCGGACGTATGTTGCGCATTTCGTATTGGTATTACTGGCTGTAAAAAGGTAAAAGAGATTTGATTCTGGTGGATATCCTTCTGTTGAGGTCCATGGTTCTTGTAATAGTAGGAAATAAATGCTCGAGTCTGTTTCTGCTTCTTCCACCGCCGCCTTGGTGATTAGTTCGCTCCGTGCACAATTAAGTTGGTGTGCGAGCGCGGTTGATCGCAGCCTAGGCATTATTCGTCATGGGTTGGTCGTCTTCGGGAACGGGTGTGGCTCCGACCGGGGCGGTGGCTGGTACTTGGATTATTGAGATTGGCTCCTGGGCGGGTGCGGCAGGTGGGTCTTGGGCGGGTGGGGCGTTTTCCTTTCCTTTGTTAAGGAATCGGCGTTTAACTCTTTCAGGGCATGCTGGGTCGGAGGCCTTATGGATTCCTTTACAGTTCAGACATCTGATTGGGGTGTGGGTGCATCTATATCCTCCCTGGCATTGATTGCATGGGTGGAAACTGGTGAGGTGATCTCCAGCGCAGTGGCCGCATTTTCCATTGTTCTTACATTTCTCCTGGCGGTGGCCGTATTCGAGGCACTTCGCACACTGGGTATCCGGGAAGGTTGGGAGGAAGGCCTCGATATGGCAGCTTCGGTTGAAGAGAGATAGGAATTTAACTCCTAGTGTTTCCATTGTGATTTGTCCTGGGAGCGCGATGACCATTGATGAGTGGGTTTTCTCCATTCGAGTTTCTGCCCTGGATATCCAGCGGGGAACCTGGGCAAGTTGGAAGTTCTCTCCATAGTTGCTTCTGATTTCTGATGCTACTAGTTGTCCCGCCTCAATGCCCTCCCCGACCGTTGTGGGGATTCCATGGAGGAGAAACTTTGACCATTTGGAGTTTGCGCGGATGACAGCGACCGGTACCTGTAGGGTGAGGAGGGCCTCCTCAATTTCTTTGGCATATTCCATTGCCTTTGTTGCAGGGGTAACGAATTTTGTTTCCAGGATGAAGTTGTCTTTGGGTGTTCTTCTTGCCGAAATGAAATGGCAGGACTCGTCTTGGATTCTTGCATTGACGAGGGTTCTGATCTCGGAGGGGTTAACGTCGGATGGGGCAGTAGTTTCCACGATGATCTCCCTGTTGATCTTGGTGTATTCTGGTTTGAAGAGGGGATCCGCTTTTGGCTTTGCGGACTTCTTTTTCCTCTCGATGACCTGGAAGTTACCTTGGGCAGGACCGGGTGCCGAGGCCACGGCGGCCCAGGTACCTGCCTTCCATCCACGAGATGGGGCTTGTTGGGGGGGTGCGGGTGGGGGGGCCTGAGGAGCTGCCTGTGGCGCTGCTTGGGGAGCTGTTTGTGGGACCGCTGGAGGGGGCATTCTCTGTCCTTGCGGTTGCTGTGGTTTTCGCTGTTGTTGCTGTTGTTGCTGTTGTTGCAGTTGCTGCGGTTGTTGCGGTTGTGGTTGTTTGTTGAGGAGCGCGTGGATCGCCGAATGCATATTGGTGATCATGTTTGTCTGCGCCTCGATCTGATATTTCAGTGTATCCACTGTTCTCCGGAGTATGGTCGTTTGCTCTTCGAGGATTTCCATCCTGTCGGTGGGTGGGCAGATTCGGCTTGTGGCATGTCTAATGGCCCAGGTAATGTAGTTCAGGTCCGTCTGGGTGTGAGTGTCCTGGGGAACGATGCTTGGGTAGAGGTAGTCAATTCTCGGTTGGTATGGGTCGTTGTAGTCGGATTGTGATGCAAAGGTCGAGGAGAATTCTTGTTCCTGAGCTCCGGACGGGGTTGGATCGGGAGCCGGAGTATTCCTGTTCTGCGGAGGGGCTGTCCCTTGCTGGGAAGATTGGGTGAAAAAGGACTGGAGCGAAGCTTGTTGCGACATAATTGAATGTCCAGTTCTTCTGGCGGCGTTGAGTGATGTTTCGGAAAGGTTTCTTTTCCTTCCCTTTGGGAGGTCAAGGCTGGAGAATTCTTTGCTAGAAGCCAGTTTTCTTGGTGTTTCTTTCGCTAGGAACAACAAACGCGACCGTACGATCGGGGACGGAGTGGCTCAACCTGGTATGGTATACCAGGGTAAACCGAGAGGAATAAAATAAAATGTTTTTAAAGCGAGGTTTGTTATCAGGGAGTTCTTTGCGAGCCTTAGCGAGCAAGTAGAATACAGAGAGAGAGAGAGAGAATCTTATATTGCATAGAAGCCGAAGCTTATCGCACACCTAACTACCCGACTACAACCTCCACCGACTAACCCGAAAGCAAAAACGAAGTACAAAACTAACTACCGCAGCTACAAGAACCGCGTACATAATAAAACAAAACAGCGCACGAAGAGGGCGCGAATAACAAGTGGTACAGGTAAGCAGAATCTAAGCGACAACAAAGAAACCTCCCCGTAGTAAGAATAAAACCCCAAACTTCTCCGTCAACTACATTAGCGAGCACAATCCTATACGTAGTGTTCAATCGAAACGATATCATTACCAACGTTCCCGGTGTCATATCTGTGGACGAACCTTAACAGGACTGGGAAACCACGCGCACGAAGGCAGGAAAAGCCAACCGCAACAGCGTCAGGGGTGAAAGCGAGGGGGGATGGATTAAGTATTGGTCCTCGAGCATCTGCTTGTCAAACAGCGAGGAAGTAAAGAGTGGTGACCGGTAGGTCAAGTAAGGAGTGGGTGGGGTCGTCGGTCCCTGGAGGAACGGCTAAAGACTGTGCCCGAGTCGTGTTTGAAGTGGTGTCCTCTGGAGGGGACATGCAAAAGGGGTTGAGCCGAAGGCTCAGTATGTATGGGGGTCGCAATCGAAAGTGCCGACCGTATTGTGTTGAGGGTGGTCTCGGAGACCGGTTGGGTTGGGGTGAGGGGAGCGGGCCGCCTCGGGTAAAAAGGGTTGCCTGGTTAAGGCCGATAAAGAGGGGTAAGGTCACGGGACCTCGGGTAAAAAAATTTGACGATAGTTTCGCGACCGAGAGGTCGCTAACTTCGCGGGCTGTCGAGCGCTTTGGCAGTAGGTTCTCGCTGACTAGAGATTACTGACAGTGTGCGTACCCAACGTGTGGGATCACTCGTGCGATGAGTGAAAGTAAGGAGGGGCGAAGGCGGCTTTCGAGAGTAGCCGCTGGTTTGGCGAGGGGTGAACGGTGGACGCGACCCTGAGGGCACCGAACGAACAAAGAATGGGGGGTGTCGAGCGAGGGAAGTTCAGGGACCGAAGCAATTCGAGAATCAGTATAACTCCATCTCGGGGGGAAGAAATCCTACCGCGAGCCAGAGGCGAGCGGGTAGAATACAGAGGTTGCGTAAAGAGAAAAGAGAAAGAAAGAGAAACAAGAAATCACGAGACAACGCCCCCCTTATATATCCATACCCTATCCCAATGCTGACTCATACCCTCGCGTAACAGAAACAGAAAGAACATAATAGAAACTCGCTTTACTAAACCCAACCACACTACATAATCCTTCTCCCTTGTACCCAGACAACTCACATAGCCAATCCGACTAGCTGCCGTTACATCCAAATACCGCTTTGAGCGACTCGGAGGGGCGAAGTTGGGACTACGTCAGAAGCCTTGGGAAATGCCTAATTGGACTCCAAGAACCTTTGGTGGGCATCCCTACCTGACGTTTAGTTCACTTCCCGGTCCGTATCTATCGGAGGTCGTGAGGATGGTCAGGGGGGTACAACTAGACCCTGAAACCCGCGGCGGTGCTTCTGACTTGCCACACCCCGCGATACGCCATTTGGTCGGGTCTCTTGTCCTCGACGAGGAGTTTTCCAAGACCACGTCGGGTCAATATCGTGTTTACCGGCCGTTACCTGAACAGGTCATCTTCTTACAGTCGGACAAAGATGTCAGAGTATGGCTCAATGCTTGTAAAGTTGCACCGCGACTGAGACTATTGGTGGTTTATAATGAGCGCGATAAAAACGCCAGGCAGACTCCACCGCCGCTGTCATTCCCCTACTTTCACGTTGACTGGGAGGTGCTGATGGACAATCAGTTGCGGATTGACCGGAGAGCGTCGGGCATCAAGGCCGAGGAGACAGGAACTCGTTGGGGGAAACCGACGAAGAGGAAGAGAAGTGAGATTGTGGAGGTGAGCGACGACGACGACGACGACGACGCTGACGACGACGCCGACGACGACGCCGACGACGACAACGAAGGCGAGGGTGAAGGTGGAGGGTCGAGTTCCCGTAAAAAGCCCAGAGGAGAGAACGCCGGAGAGGGCAGCTCGAGCAAGGCGGGCCCGAAAGGCAAGGCAGGGGGTAGCTCGAGCAAGGCGGCCCAGAAAGACGACGATGACGTCGACGACGAGGAAGAAGAAGAGGAGGAGGACGAGGAAGAAGAGGAGGAAGAAGAGGAGGAGGAGGCCCCAAGGAGAAAGAAGACAAAGACACCCGGGCTCAAGACGCCGGCCAAGACGCCGCCATCAAAGACACCCGGGCCCAAGACGCCGGCCAAGACGCCGCCATCAAAGACACCCGGCCCGAAGACCCCGGCCAAAACACCTGCTCAGACTACTGCTGCCGAGCGAGGAGGGAAAAGGTCGAGAGCGTAAGTTGGACTAAATTCCGTACCAGTAGTATAGTTTCTCCTAATGCGGCTAATGCGGTCAATACATTAGACACCATCTATTCGATGAGCCTGCTGAGAGCCCGCCCTATGAGGGTGAGCAGGAGGAAGAGCAAGGGGACTTAATACCAGAGTACGAAAGCCGGGCCACTGGTTCACAAGCTGACAGCGCTCTGGAGTCTGAAAGAACTACGCAAGATGAGATGCCCGGCGAAGAGCCTGCCGGGGAAGGTAGTTACGTTGATGGTGGCCCTGATGGGGGTATTCCTCCCGGCGGGCGCGGGGACGAGTCAATCGATATGGAAGTGGGTTACCTTACCGATGCATCGACCAGTTCGATTGAAGAGGCTAAGCTCCAAACAATTCCCCGTCTTCCCCAGTCCCCCCACCCCCAAATCTCCCCTCCCCCCACTATCATCAACATCAGCAAACTCTGCTATTCCTCAGGGCGCAGCGCCTACGCCCTGGGCGCCAGGCACGCCAGGCGCCGCCAGGGCAGAGTGCTCGTGCCAGGCGTCGCCAGGGCAGGGTCCTCACGCCAGGCGTCGCCACAGCAGGGTGCTCGCGCCAGGCGTCGCCACAGCAGGGTGCTCGCGCCAGGCGTCGCCACAGCAGGGTGCTCGCGCCAGGCGTCGCCACAGCAGGGTGCTCGCGCCAGGCGTCGCCACAGCAGGGTGCTCGCGCCAGGCGTCGCCACAGCAGGGTGCTCGCGCCGGGCGATCCTAGCATCCGCGCCCGACGCCCCCAGAGCAGTATGTTCTCTGTCTGGCAGCACCAGGGCGCATAATCGTCTATACACTCCGCCAGAGCGCAGTGCCAATCATCTGACCACGTCAGAGAAGAGAGCTTTTCACGACTGCAACTCGAGCACTCGCTCCAGCAGAGCACTCGATCCAAGCAGAGCACTCGCTCCAAGCAGTCCGCTGTCAGAGCAGCATATTCGTACTCCCTAATGAGCTTCTTTGCACTCGCTAATGCTACTGTCTACAGAGTACTCTGAGCGATATCACCTACATCCATAGAGCACCCAGCAATGCTCTCTCCGCAATCTTCTCTAGGCGCGTCGTGCACTTTCACGCGTCATGCACCTCCAGGCGATATGGTGCTCGTCCTGAGAGCACCCGGCGATGCTCTCTCCGCCATGACACGCCTGGGTATGCCTCCTGCGTCTGAAGAACGATCAACTAATGAGTTTCCGCCCAGGGACTGGCAACGAATCACGGACGTGTCGGGGCCCGCCAGGAGACAGCGTCAGCGCCCTGACAGCACTCGTCAGTAATATCTGCGCCAGGAGATCAAATCACAACGAGCTGCTCGCCAGGCGCTGCCAGAGCATATCGCTCACGCCTAGAGAGCACTCGTCAGTACTATCTGCGCCAGGAGAGCATTCTCAACGAGCTGCTCGCCAGGCACCGCCAGAGCATATCGCCCACGCCAAGACACTCTTCGTCAATGAGTTTTTCCAGGCACTGCCAAGAGATATTGCTCACGTCCGGAGAGCACCACGAATGCTTCCATAGCACTGACCAATGCTCGTAGAGCTGCGGAAATATCTTTAATAATACTATTCAAGGTGGGACACCCCCCACTTAGACCCATATGAATCGATACGCTTTCTTCAAAGGCAAGGTAGGCATCGCCGGTCCCTCAAACGATATCTCACGTGGGTATTCTTCACGCCGCTGAACGGTCAGTCGCGGAATACTGATACGAGCACTGTCGTGTATACTGGAGATGGCTACCAAACCTTTGACGAACGTGTATGTATCTGTCGATTCGTGAAAGGCATAAGCCTTGAGGTTGAGGCCATGGTACGGCTCGTCTGAAAAGCTCAATGTCCATGCATAAGCAGCAAACATGGACTGGAAAAAGGTGCAGGATGACTTTACTGGTCGGAAGACCAATGCCTGCCTACCGCGCCCTCCTGGAGCTGGCTTGCTGGATAGTCAGACTCAGATACTGAGCGGCCGATACTCACCTCCCTCTTCCAATCCGCATGCGTACTAGCAGAACGACACGAATTTTGAATTAGACGGTCCTATTGGGTCTAACATTCCACTCGTAGAGCACTCGCCACTGCCCTCAGAGCATTCACTGAATAGCACCCGGTATTCCTCTCATATCACTGGATAGCACTCGGTATTCCTCTCATATCACTGGATAGCACTCGGTAATCCTCTCACATCACTAGATAGCACTCGGTAATCCTCTCACATCACTGGATAGCACTCGGTAATGCTCTCACTGGATAGCACCCGGTAAGCCTCTCACATCACTGCATAGCACTCGGTGATCCTCTCACATCACTGCATAGCACTCGGGAATGCTTTACAGCATTCAACTGAATTCATTCCACGTACGCAAATCTATCCTAGTATTTACCAGCCAATTGCCAGCATCCACCTCGAACAAATGGGCCATTCCTAATATACTCCGAATATTCACGACCCACATCCTCTTCCTCCTCCTCCTACAGACCTTCAGCAGCCCATGTGAGCTATCAGCGATACCACGATCCTTCGCCTCAAGCAGCTCAACTACACATAGTCTATGTGCGCGCCCTGTGCTATCCCGCACCTTGAACAGAGCCTCCACACGTCCTGGTAAGCGTCCCCGAAACACTCCCCACTGCTCTGAGGAACCTACCGATACCCATGCCCAATCCTTTCTTATTTTCCCCTTCCTAAAAGATGCTGTTCCCGTACACCTGATGTTGTGAACCTCGTATACGTCAGGCCTTTGGAAGATTGGTATCGGAACCTGCAAGCATGTGAAAACCTCCACCCGGCGCTCCAACATGCTCTCAGAGCTTCCGGCAAAGCTCTGAGAGCATCCCGCATCCTCGGCATACTCCTTTATCAGGCGATATAGCGTGAGATGGCTCATTTGCAGTCCGTCTGCCACGTTGAAAAGTCTTTCCGATTTCGCGGAGGGGTTGCAAAGACGCTTCAGGGGCAGTCCGCTTTCTACTATTGAGCGTTCATTTGGCGTTTTCTTGCGGTCCTCGATCTTGAAAATGTCGAGCAACTCCTTGAGGTTATCCCGATAGCTCCAGAGGATGTCGTCAGTGCTCTCAGAACCTCCGACGATGTCTTTCAGATTCAGAATTCGAATCTCTAACGCCAATCGCCTCCCTCCATAGTCCAGTATCTGCGTCGCAGCATCAACCTTGTTGGACGCTCTGTAAGCTTCTTTTACCTGCCGTACATGGGCAAGCTCGCTGACGTCCGTGGAGTATTGAGGAATGCTACCAAAGCGCTCAACGTGCTCCCGGTAGTGCATTAAGACGTGCAATTTGATGAAGTTGAAGTGCGATCTTTCCCGAATCTCCCGGATCTCCTCCAAGCCTCGCTGGGTGCTCTGGGAGCCACTAATTGCTTTCGTTCGATCTCTCGCATCCTTTAACGTCTTCTTGTACGCCCTGAATTCTAAAAAGATATCCTTGTGTTTATGGAAATCCTCGAGATAGCTCTCCATATAGTCCAGTGTGCTCGTTGTATGACTCCCATATTGCGCCATTAAGTGGAAGTCTATTAGGCTTCGAACGCATTTCAAAGCTTTTGCGAAGTCGCTCCTGACAGCCACTCCCGGGTTTCTCAGAGCAGCCGCGAGTGCTCCTAGAACGACCCGCCCCAGATTCCGCATCTCTTTCCCTTGCCATTGGGTGGTAGAACGATATGCCTTGTTTGGTACTGCTAGTCCAGGGTAAGGCGCAATCGAAGCCCAAGCTTTGTCGAATTCCTCCAATCGATGATGCTTCTTCAAGAAACCCTGAATCCACTCCATCATGTGCTTCAACATCCCCAGGTAAATATTGTGCAGTATGTCCGGTTTATTGAGATCGTACGGATTAACCCTCGGCATACCCCAGAAAGCATTGAAGAGTGTTTTGACGGATCTCCCAACAAGGTATTCTACCGGTTCTAGATTGCCCGGGTTCTCGCCAAATAGCTGTACCCTCTCCCTGTAGTCCTCGTGATTGCGCATAGAGCTTCGACGAGTGCTCCCAAGATTGTGAAACTCCACCTCGCATCTCGGGCAAGCACTAGTGCTAATGTTTTGCAAGTTTGAATGCTCGGGTTGATCGGCGATCCAGCCCGAGAGCACCGGAAAGCATAGTCGTTCGTAGCCGTCGGCGCATTTGATTAGCTCGCCCTCCTGAGAGCACTCGCGAATGCTTTGAAAGATCTCCCCAAGGGCACGATGCAGTGCCATTTGACTCTGACGTCTTAAAACGGAATTAGCGAGTGTTGTATTCTTTCCGAGCTTCGGTGGCACTGGTAGCAGCCCTAGGAGAATGAATGAATGCCCTGTGGGCTTGTTGCGCACCGACGACTTGATGTTCCCGATGGTAAGATAGATTGGCCAGGCTTTCTTGTCCCCGCTGAAATTTGTCAGATGTGTGCCATCCGACGCGCAGATAATTGGTACGACAGTGGACCCCTCCGGTAACGTATTCTGTCGAGAAGACATTAGCGACTGCTCCTGTAGCATCATCGACTGCTCATAGAGCACCTCAAGTTGACAGGGTGAAGTTTACGGACCTGTATCTCCCACCACCAATCTCCTGTATGCATTTCCCCGTACATTCGCTCGCCGAATTCATTATGCTCCACCACGGGCGAATACACCAATGACTCCCGGAAGGCACGTTGCCCTAGAAGATATCGGACGACTACCATTGGATCCCGGTAGTAGTAAGAGATCTTCTCCCCCCCAATATCCACCTCCGAATGATTCCAGCTCGCCTTTCCCAGTATATCGTTCATTTCCTCCAACCTCTTGATAAAACCCCGCCCAGTGCTGTAGGAGCACTCGCCACTACTCGGCGGAGCGTGTAGAAAGAAGCTGTCGATGTTCCCCTGTGAGGCTTTGGACAGTGTGAAATAGCGTGCTATTCTGAACTCGTATGCTGACCGGAATGGGTGCCATGGGTATTGGAGAAGGCTCTGTGAGCACTCGTCGTAATCCTCCGAGCGGTAAAGTGGCTCCCCAGCACCCTCGTAAACTGTCGTAGATGCCCTACTATGCCCATTTGAATCGCCATCTGCCTCTTCCATCACGAAATATGATTCGGATTCGAGGTCCGAATTGTTACCCGAATCTTGGTCGAAAATGTCCGACTCTGAATCGTAATGCGTGTCTGAATAGTAATCGGGAATGCTCTCTGGGCTCTCGTCAGTGTTGTCGGGGGTCTCTGCAGGTTGATCGTGCTCCAGCAGTGAATATTGATTTCCCAGCCATTCATCTGCTTCCAAAGGATGGATCGTTCGAAGATGTCTGTCAAAATTCGCGGAGGAGCTGTACCTCTTGCTGCAAAAAGGGCAAGACGATTTCATTGGACTCAAGAATTTGCAGTCTGCCAAGGCGGAGGCTCTTTCCTGCAGGCGGTGCAGAGTGCTCTACGAACGATTTGTCATCCAATGAGGCTCTCGCCGCCAAGCGGTTGTGCAGAGTGCTCTACAGAGTGCTCGCTGCAGAGCGCTCGCCAAGTGATTGTGAGCCTTGCGCTCGCACCTCCACCATAGCGAGGCTGATTTTGACGTCATACATCTCCAACGGAATAATGCAAACACAAACACAAGCATACAACGAGAAGAAACAACAATCACCACAATCATGCCGCCAACGATGCTCCGTTCTACCCTCTCAGCATTCGCTCTCTCTCTCTGAGCACTCGCGGATGCTATTCAGATCATGGAGAGACCATTCTCACCGCCAAATTCGATACTAATATCGGATATGCGCTCAGAGGATACACACTCTCCGACTCAGCTTCATAGCGCACAGAGCCCCGACACCAACAAGAACACAAACACCAACCCAACATAGGAATCCAATCGACACCACTGTTGGTACTACCGTCAGAGCATTCCCGAGTACGCCTAGAGCATTCATCTACGTCATTCAATTGAATCAAACCTCCAGAGTAGAATCTTCGAGTGCGCCTAGAGCATTGATCTACGTCATGTATTGGAGCAAACATTCAGCACGGCTTGGAGCACCATATGCAGCACTGGTGGGAGCGCCCGGGGGTGCTCGTACAGCACCCGAGGATGCTCGTACAGCACCCGAGGATGCTCGTATAGCACACGGGGGTGCTCTCGGAAGCATGATGAGCCCTGGAATAGCTGATTGTATTCGGTATAAGAGCACCCTTCTCCTCCTTCCAGATCGTGAGAGCTTCCTAACCATCTTCCAGCGCTACCTATCACTTCAAGCCCCTCCCTGCTATCTAAGCTTTCAAGATACCTCTTGAAAGCGCATTCAGCTCACGTTTCAAGTTTAGGCTTCAACTTGAAGTTTCAAGTTTCGTTTCAAGTTCAAGCTTTCAAGCTGCACACCTAGCGATCATATATAAGATGGTATATCCTCCTTAATCCTATTGCTTTCAGAACCATACTCATCACATATTCACTATAGCCTTCATCCTCCCCTCAGGGCACTCCAGAGCGCTCACAGAAGAAGCGAGATCGCGATCCAGACACCGACGAATCAGATAGCAAAAAACGCCGAAGGAAGGAAAGGAAGGAGAAGAAGAAGGAGAAGAAGAAGGAGAAGAAGGAGAAGAAGAAGGAGCAGAAGAAGAACGAGAAGTCCTCCCCTTCCTCGTCTCGCAAAGAGCAGAAAAGCCTCCAGCCTATCCCAGAAGAGATAGAAGAGACACCCCCGCCGCAGTCGTCGTCTTCCCGGAAGCATCCCCGAGTGGTTTCAAGCTCCCGACAGCACTCGTCACCGCCCCCTCAGCACTCGTCACCGCCCACTCGGCACTCGAGACTCTTCCCAAAAGAGTGGGAATCAGTGCAATCTGAAGCCGAGTCCGACAGCGAACGTTCCGCAGCAGGCACAGCAGCAGGCCCAGCAGGCCCAGCAACACACTCCGCAAAGCGACCAGCAGCAGGGACAGCAGCAGGCCCAGCAGCAGGCCCAAAACCCCAAGGAGGACGAGCACTTCAACGAGTCTCCAGCACTTCCCCAGAATTGGGCAGCTCGCCGCCACAACCGTCGGCCCCTGTCCGTAGAACCGTACTCCCAGTTGGTGCCCCTGCTCCAGAAGCAGTCGCCAGTGCTTCACAGAGCTCTCAATCCCGACGTCGCCGTCGGCTACCAATACCTAGTTCCCCTCCACCGGCAGAGCAGAGGCAAAGCCGCAGAGATCGTGCCCCAGAAACTCCCTCGCGTGCTCAGGTAACATACGCCAGTGCTCCAGAAGCATCATCCCCAATCTCTCAAGCCCGATACCCCGGCAGAATGACTGAGGCAAACAAAGCAAAGATGGCTTTAGGTTTGATCAACCTCCCTAAATTGTACACTAACATCCGCAACAGCCTCAAAGCGGAGATGCAGAACACCGGTTGGGTCAACAAAACCGTTTCCGGAGCAGCAGCGTTCGATGCTCTATGCCTCCATGTGTTGAACATACGCCCTCTCCGTGGTTTCCTGCCTATGTGGAACGGAGGCGATTCCGCAACCCGCAGAGCACTCGCGGACGCTTTGAAGTGGCTCATCGGTGATGTTGGGCAGAAGGAAAAGCTATCGAGGGGGCAGGGAAATCGCGAGTATAAAGAAGTTGCTGACGATAGCGATGATGATGAGGACGGTGGTCTGCCCGCCCAACGCTCTAAGAAGCGTAAACGGGACCCAGTGTCCGCAGATCTCGATAGACCTTCCATAATGGTTACGGTGGTAGACCCGGATGCTCTAGGAGCATTCTCCAGGGTTGCCCCGCCCCCTATCTATGACTGGAACCATCGACGAAATCAGAATTCGTTCATTGGAGTTCTGACCAAGATAACGTTTCCAGGGTTCTGCAATTTGATCCTGAAGCACACCCCACCCGGCAGAGCAATCAGGAGTATCTGGGGAGCACTCGATAACGTTCCACCGGCATCCAATCCTCCTGTTCGGCCGATGGAGGTGCAGATCACTGATTCGGAAGAGGTCGAGGGTTGGTTGAAGAATAGCGTTGGCAGGCCTCGGAGGATACTGGCGGTACTCCACAGAGCGGGCGCGGGTGCTAATTTGGGTGGTGCTGAAACACCGCCGCTGACACGAGCATTCCCTCATATCGAGGAAGACGATTACACCACGATCGATATTCCAGCAGAGGACTCTGATTACGAGGAGGGAAATCACCGCATAAATGCTAAAGGACTGAGGGTATATTTGCCCAGAACTGATGCCAGTAATCAAAGGCTAATCCAGACTCTTGTTAGACGTCGCGATAGACAGCAGGATGCTATCGACGACTTAGACCCCAAATACCTGAGGAAGTATCCTCTGGGTGTAGGGGTTGCTGACGCAAACTTTGCACAGGGAGTAATCTGGACGCCTGCCGGGATAGCAGCCAAGAGAGCTGCTGACGCACTCGCGGCTGCTGCTGGAGGCGGTGGTGGTGGTGGTGGTGGTGGTGGCAATCCTCCTCCGGGCGGTGGTGGTGGTGGTGGTGGTGGTGGTGGTAATCCTCCTCCGGGCGGCGGTGGTGGTGGTGGTGGTGGTGGTAATCCTCCTCCGGGCGGACCTCCTCCTCCTCCTCCTCCTCCTCCTCCTCCTCCTCCTCCTCCTCCGGGCGGACCTCCGGGCGGTGGTGGTGGTGGTGGTGGTGGTGGACCTTCTGGAGGCGGTGGTGGAGGCGGTGGTGGTGGTGGTGGTGGAGGTGGTGGGCCAGCTGGAGGCGGTGGAGGCGGTGGTGGTGGTGATGGTGGTGGGCATCATTAGTCTCCTTTGGTATAGTCTCTCACCACTCTTCCTGCGGATTTCTCACTACTAACCTTTGAAAAGCTGTACAGATTGCTCTCTGAGCACTCGCGACTGCTACTGAGATGGAGGAGGTGCGGTACGATTTTATGTTTTGGATTTCCTTTGTCTTGCGAGCATATATGAATTGATGGGTTTTTGAATAGCAGTATGGAGTGCTCTCTGAGCACTCGCGAGTGCTACTGAGATGGAGGTGCTGTACGATTTGATGTTTTGGATTTCCTTTGTCTTGCGAGCATATATCAATGGATGTGTTTTGTCGTATTAGATGAGATTAGATGAGATTAGATGAGATTAGATTAGATTAGATTATTCCGTGTCGTAATTGCATTGCTTTTATTTCAGAGTCGAGTCAAACTCCTAGATTGCTCTCAGAGCACTCGGTATTGCTTCAGAAAGTGCAAAGTGCAGTAAAACGAGTGATTACAAATGATGCGGTTGAGCGGATCCCTGCCGTAGGAGGATTAGCCGTGCAAATTCTTCTTGATTAGCGGCGCAAATTTTCTCGCCAAGAATTGATTTCTAATCAAAGATACCGCGAGTGCTCCTAGAGCACTGAGGATATTCCTGCTAGCCATCAGAATGGCTCCCACCAAGCGCTCCTCCGGTTCAGCACCTCTTGCCCCAAAGCGCCCACGACTCCCAAGACGACCTGAAGAACATGAAGATTTACTGACTGACGAGTCTGAGATACCTTGCCGACCATTGACTCCACTGCCAGCCCGCACTCGGAGTAGTCAGTCGACAACCGCCCCAATAGCGCGTAAAGGGCTTCTGTGTTCTACCGACACATCCACTGGAAGAAGCAGCCCTAGAAGGGTAGAATTCCATCTCCCCGATGGCAATACTGACAGCGTTGAAGTGCAGGAGCATCAGGAGGATGTGCCAGAGGTGGAGGAAACCGCCGATACCAGCCACTCGGAGTATGATGACTCCCCAGAGAACGCCCAGGAGAGCTCTGAGGAGAACCTGGACGACCCGGAGGAGTCGGAAGAACCTCAAGCCTCCACTCAGCAGAGATCCCAGAGTACGGGGAAGAGGCCTCGTACAGTGCAGCCGACTACTGCCAGAGCACTGGGCAATGCTCGGAGGAGACCAACCGGAGCGGTAGCGGAGGTTATTGCTTCCTCCGACGTGTCGGTGGATGTGGTACAGGTTCGACTCCATCCCACCCATTAATGTTAAGGACAAAACGCTAACGATTTAGAGGGGAGCACGTCCGGGTGCAAAGGTAGTACGGAGAGCAGCTCCCACTTCGGCACCCAGCCAGAATGCATCCCAGAGAGCACCGCCAATACCCACACAGTCTAGGCCTTCTGAACCTGTTTATTATCATGATTACAGCTCTTCGACGCGCCATATCGATCTTTCCTCATTGCGCTCTCGATACGGGGAGTCCTCACCTACTTACCGCCCCTATCGTTCCTCCCCGCCTTTTGAGGGCGTTGGCGAGAGCTCTATGAGCAGTCCCCGGATTCCCTCAAGCCCTCAGGTATATTTACCAGAAGCGCAACCAAGAGTCTACGATATTGCACAGCTTTCGTCGTCTATTAGGGAAGGAAATGCTCCTATAGCAGAAAGCGAGGTTAGTAGTATTCCCGATAGCACTGACGACCGCTTTGAGAGCACTGTTAACATTCATGCGAGCAACCTATCTCAGAGATCCTTGTTACCTAGCTCGAGGAGTGCAAACGTTCTCTCAATGCAGGCTCAGAGGATTGAGAAGGAGTGCAGCACGCTAATCGGGGACCACACTCTTCTACATGAGCCTTTTCCACCTGCAGCGAGGCTTTCGGTACTGGTAGTGAACATGTGGGCAGCTGTTACGGGCATGCCAAGCATTTACGGGAGTGAGAGAAAAGGCTAGTAGATACCCCAATACCCTCTGTACGCTAATGTCAACTCTTGACCACACTCGCGGAGTGTGGTGCGACCAAATTACGACCAAAAAACCCAGAGTTATAAAAAAAACACGTTTTCGACCCCAATAATAACCCCCGGAGCGTCAAACCGCCGGAGGGGAGTGTTTTGGTACCGGTGGATATATGAGGGACAGCTGGAATCAATCGGATCGAAGATCGGACCGCTCGGAGTGAATCGGCGCAAGCTGCCAGCCGGCCGAGTACCTATCGGCGGTACCTGTGGGCATGAGAGGACTCTGCTATGTGGGAAAGCGATGTGGGAAGAGGCCTGAGTAGGTAGCCTTGCTGTCCGAGACCTCCGAATAGCCGACGCTGACGATTATCCACCAGACGGCCGATGGAGAAGAAATATCAACAGGGAAACGTGCATTAGAGTGGATAAATAGGTTGAGGGGTTTCAGCGGATTTAGGAGTTTGGGTTACGGACTTAGGAGTTAAATGTTCTTGGTTGTTTTTCAGGGTCTCGGGCATGCCCCGAGTGTATTCTGTATTATTAGTAGACTGGGTCCTCGAGACATAAGCGAGGGATATAAATACTGTGTCATTCACTGACTAGCCAAACCATCATCGGCGAAATCAGAGTCTTAACAATATAAATCGTTGATACGCGAGTTACAACTTTATTTGACTATACTTTCTGAATTACTTTACTCTATCGTGACTTCGAACTCTACCTGAACTATTACGTCGAAGACGGTCGAACATCATACGCTAACTCTAGTGAATCTTTGTTGATAATGTAGCTCGCGGGGCCCGTATCGGATCAAGGAGAATCATACTCGACGTTGACTGAAGAGACCTTGGAGACTTCTACCTTTGTAGCTGTTAGCCGAACTCTGAGCTCTGCGTAGTGTACTCTTGCGGTCTGGTACGCATCCCTCACAGTATATTGTTACTCACAAGTTCACTTGGAGTAACGAAGTCACCTCGAAAAGAAGAACTATCATCGTTATCCCCTATCACAATGACTACCCGAAGGGATAATTACTTCATAGACACCTCGGCCGTAACTGAGGAGGCCGGAGGAGAAGATTCTATGGTGATATCAAGGGCTGCTAGCCCAGACCCCCTACTTACGGGAGGACCCTCCACACAAACTAGGCAATCGAGTAAACGCTCTGCTCAAGCCCAGTTCGTGAGGAACATGCAGGAGTTTTTGGATACCCATGAGGCACAAATGAGGTATCTTGATGCAGCTGGACAGGCCGTTTGGCAGCAGCTACAAAACCTCCAGGAACAAGTCCAAGGGAGTGGGCAAATCCTGGACAAGAAGGTACGACAAGAAGCCATTGCCCAAAAACAACATCTGGAATCGCTCTTTGAACTCGTCTCCAGTGTCCAACAAGTACATGAAGCTGCACGAGCCGCCGACCACAAGGTTCTGGAGCAAAGTCATCTGCAAACCCAGAACCAGTTACAGGAGGCGGAGCGACAACTGAGGATGGTAAGAGAAGAGCGAGAGCAGGAAAAAGGGGAGCAACGAGCTTGGTTTGCGGAATTCAAGCGGTCCGATGCGGAAAGAAACCAACGGATAGCCGAGATGGAGGAACTACTGCGACAACATCTGTCAGTAGCACCTTCCGTGGCAAGTGCTCCCTTAGATCCTAATGCACCCCGAACGGTTCCTGTTGGCAATGGCAAGAAACCCGAAAATGCTGGCCCAGTAGGAGGAAATGCTGGTCCAGTAGGAGGGAATGGAGGCAGGCAACCGGAGGATGCCGGCCCAGTGCAGGGCAATAATGGCAGAGGACCGGTGGGAGCTGCTCCAGTTGGCGGGAATGGTGGGAATCAACCTCCACAAAACCCACCGAGAGGAAACGTTGGAGGAGACCCAGAACCTTCCGACGACGATGACGACGATAACAGTGAATGGTCGCACGGTCGGAAGAATTGGAGAAGGAACCGAGGCGGGAACCGGAATTCGGCGCCGCCTGAAGACGACGATATGGTAGATTCGCTTGCCAAAATACCCTTTGAGTTCGATAATGCCAGGAAGCATAACCTGCGGCATTGGCTCATGGAATGCGAGATCTACTTTGAGCAGAAGCCCAAGAAGTTCCGAACGGACAGGAACAAGGTACTGTTCGCTGGAACGTATACGTGTGGGTTGGCAAAGGAATGGTTCATGGAATACATCGAGACCAAGATGTTAGGACCGGCAGCCGCGGACTACGCCACTTGGACTCGGTTCCGTCAGGAGATTAGGAAACGCTTCTTAAGTACTCAGGAGGCTATGGAAAACGCGATGAAGATGCAGCAGTTTAAGTACTCTGCTAACATCGGAGACTACCTGACAAGAATGGAGATCATGAACCAGCATGCTCAGATGAAAGGAGCATCCTATCGCGCCGCCTTGCTCCAAGGACTACCAAATGAAATCCGGGAGCGCCACTCACGCTTCGATCCAACCGAGGACGACTCCGAGTACATCCAACAGTTGGAACGAGCCGGTAAGGCTCATGAGGCCTATCAAGAGCAAATGAAGATGTTGGGGAAAGCGGAGTCGAGAGGAAGGGAAACGAATAATGGTGGGAACTCGCGGCAAAAGGAGAAGGGGTTTAAGATCAAGGGGAGGGCTCAGACCGAGGAGAAAGAGAAAGGGCAAGATAAGAAGAGCACCAGCAAGAACAAGTCGGGGAATAAGCCAATATACCACGACTACGACGAAGCCACCAAAGGAGTTCCACAGCCGGTCCGAGAACAGCGAAAGACCGATGGAGCCTGTGTGCGATGTGGCCGAAAGGGTCATCTTTGGAAGTGGTGTCGTTCAGATGCTAACAGCAGTGCATCTATCTCCTCTTTCTCCCGAAAGCGTACCCGCGATGACGATGGCGACCACGATATGGAACCACCGGAACCCCAACCCCAGAGAAAGCGAATGAGGCACCGTGCTAAGAAGCCGGCTGCGACGGCTGCTGCGGAGTACACCAGTGGGCAAGCGTTTGTGCGAGAACGCGGATCGGAATCTGAAATGGATTTCGACGAGGATTTTTAAAAGGGGACTCTGATGAGTCAGGTCAGGAGTATCCCCAGATTGCTATGTTATCACTGACGGAAAACAACAAAAAAAATATGAAAAGAAAAAGGCAGGAAGGGAGAGCGTCCCAACCGGAGAAAAAACAGAAAATTTTGGAGGAACCTATTCATGGTCCTCGACCTATCGTTAATCAGTTCCTTTGTTTTGCGGAAAAATGTTTACCTTGTAGGGTGTTGTTGGATACTGGTGCAACTGGTCCTGTTTTGTCTGCTGTTTTTGTTGATAGTTTTGAGGTCCCGAAGGTGAAACGAGACGTCCCGGCCCGGGTATTTGGATTTACGGGAGAAGTTATGAAGGGCACGGGACACGCCTTTACACAACCATTAATTATAATGTCAAGGGGGCATCAAACACAGTTGTCATTTGAGATCGCCCCTCTCCCGGTTGGCATCGATGCAATACTACCGAACTGGTGGTTGAAAGAACACAAGCCGGTTATAGGGTCAAATGGGGAAGTCTCCTACGATGGTGAGAACTGCAAGAGTCGATGCTTCACTGACAAGGAACCTCAAATAGAGATGGACGAGGGTGTATTGGACGATCCGGAGGCCCAATTCATCGGTAGCATTTGTCTTTTGGAAGATGAATCGGTCAACCTCCGCGAAACTCTTCCCTCTTGGCTCCATGGGTTCCTTAAAGTCTTCCTACCGTCGGAAGCAGATAAATTACCACCGCATCGATCTTACGACCATGCGATAGACCTTGAACCAGGGAAACAGCCACCATGGGGACCCGTCTACTCCCTATCCGAAGTCGAGCTGAAGGTGCTTCGGGAGTACCTGGATAAAATGTTGCGATTGGGAAAGATTAGGCCGAGCAAATCCCCGGCAGGAGCCCCAATTCTATTTGTGAAGAAGAAGGACGGTAGTCTACGACTTTGCGTTGACTACCGTGGACTTAACCGCGTGTCCATTAAGAACAGGTATCCGTTACCACTTATGGACGAACTACGAGATCGAGTGGCAGGCGCGGTTATCTTCTCGAAGATTGACCTGAAGGAAGGTTACAACCTCATCAGGATCAAAGATGGCGACGAGTGGAAGACAGCATTCCGTACGCGGTACGGGCATTTTGAGTACCTCGTCATGCCTTTTGGGCTGGCAAATGCGCCAGCGACCTTCCAGAATATGATGAATGATGCGCTGAGGGAATTTTTGGATCAAGGTGTAGTAGTATACCTTGATGATATCCTAATATATAGCAAGTCTCGAGAGGAACACAGGGAGCTGGTCGGCAAAGTCCTTAGTAGGCTACAAAAATACAACCTGGTCGCCAACCCGAAGAAATCGTTCTTCGAGCTCACTGAAATCGAGTTCCTCGGATACATCCTTGCCCCAGCAGGCGTCACCATGGCACTGGATAAGGTTATGTCTGTTACGAATTGGCAAGCTCCGCGTAGCGTTAAGGAAGTACAGATCTTCATGGGCTTTGCCAACTTCTACAGAAGGTTTATCCACAATTTCTCAGGGGTCTGTAAACCCATTACCGATTGTCTCAGGGGTGATGCTAAGAACTTTGTCTGGTCTATGACGGCCCAAGCAGCCTTCGAAAAACTCAAAACCCTATTTACGTCTGCGCCGATCTTGGTACACTTCTCTCCAGATCGCCAGACTATCGTGGAAACGGACGCAAGTGATTTTGCTATCGCCGCAATTCTATCCCAGGTTATTGACGGAAAGACTCACCCTGTTGCCTTTTATTCTCGAAAACTTAACCCAGCGGAACTCAACTACGACGTCTGGGATAAGGAGATGCTAGGAATTGTGTCAGCCTTCAAGCAATGGCGTCACTACCTCGAAGGACCTAGCCGAACGGTTCTCGTCTATACGGATCACAAGAACTTGGAATATTTCTCAACAACCAAGGTTCTTAATCGACGACAGGCAAGGTGGGCTGAATCTTTGGCGGAATTTGACTTTAAGATTATTTACCGCCCGGGAACCAAAAATGGGAAGGCAGATGCACTATCGCGACGGCCGGAGTACCGTCCTGAAGGGGGAGGCACGCTTGGGAAACAGCCGATAGACAGGTTCTTTAAGCCCGGACAGTTGGCGGAGGAAGAGTTCGTGGTATCAGCGGTGTCGCTTGCCTCCAAGGGGGTGATTGACTGGTCTAAGAATTTTCTGGATTATGTCAGGCAGGCGGCATCGGGAGACCCGACATGGGTAGGAATGAAAGAGAGAGTTGAGCAAGGGGAGAAGCTGGGGGAATCGAAGGATATTGCCGAAAAAGACGGGCTACTCTTCTATAAGAACCGACTCTACATTCCGGCAGACGACCGCATTAAGATCCGAATTGCACAGTCAGAACACGATTCGAAGGTGGCGGGACACTTTGGACAAGACAAAACTTTGGAACTCATCACACGTAACTTCTATTGGCCAAAAATGAACGAGTGGATTGATGATTACGTTCGGTCATGTGACGAGTGCCAGCGCAACAAACCCAGCCGCCATAAGAAGTACGGTGCGCTTCTACCATTGTCCACACCACATTCCGTCTGGCAATCGATATCAATGGACTTCGTCGTGCAGTTACCGGAATCGAAGGGATACAACCAAATTTGGGTAGTAGTCGATAGGTTCTCGAAGATGTCGCACTTTATTCCCCTAGTAGCAGAAACGACTGCGCAGGATTTAGCGAAGATATTCCTCGGTCAAATCTGGCGACTCCATGGGCTGCCTCTTGATATAGTTTCCGACAGGGACGCCAAGTTTACTTCAAGCTTTTGGGCATCCCTTATGGAATTATTGGACGTGAGGATAAGAATGAGTACGGCTTTCCACCCTCAGACCGATGGACAAACAGAGCGTGTCAACCAAACCCTCGAGCATTACTTACGAGCGTTCTGCAACTACGAGCAAGATGATTGGGCAGAGCTACTCCCGTTGGCGGAGTATGCTTACAACAACTCGGTTACCACCGCCACGGGTCAATCTCCGTTTTATACCAATTACGGTTATAACCCAAGAACCAACTGGCCGACAGAAGCCGAAGTGGTCAACCCAACTAGCGATCTGTACGCTCACTTCATCCGAGGGGTTCATGATTCTGCTCTCGCTCGCTTAACAGACACCAGGGAGAAGATGGGGAAATACTATGATCGAAAAAGGGACGAACCGCCTAACTTCAAGGTGGGAGACATGGTTATGCTCAATGCGACCAATATCAAGACACGTCGTTCCACTAAGAAACTCGATCACAAGAAACTCGGCCCGTTCAAAATCATCCGACTAGCCGGGAAACGAGCCTGCGAACTGGAACTGCCGCCACAAGTCAAAATCCATAATGTGTTCCATATTGAACTCTTGGAACGGTATCGACAGAGCAGTATCCCAGGCCGAGAACAACGTCCCCCAACTCCCGAAGAGGTCGATAAGGAAGGAGAGGTGCTGTACGAAGTGGAAAGTATCGTGGGGAGCCGGAAAAGCAGAAGAGGATTAGTGGAATACCTGGTGAAATGGCGGGGCTATTCGATGAGTGACTGTACGTATCAAGTCATGGACGCTATGGATAAGGAAGTACTTGACCTTGTCCGCGACTTCCATCGAAGGAACCCCAAGGCCGTGAAGGACCAACGCCTGAGACTATAGAGGTACCCTACGGGGCTAAGTCCTTCCCCTCCACAGACACCGCGGGTGATATGTGGAGCAGGTTTACTGGAACCATAGTCTGTCAGAAGATGTCCCGAGACGTGACACCCTGGAAGGGGGGTAAGCTGTTACGGGCATGCCAAGCATTTACGGGAGTGAGAGAAAAGGCTAGTAGATACCCCAATACCCTCTGTACGCTAATGTCAACTCTTGACCACACTCGCGGAGTGTGGTGCGACCAAATTACGACCAAAAAACCCAGAGTTATAAAAAAAACACGTTTTCGACCCCAATAATAACCCCCGGAGCGTCAAACCGCCGGAGGGGAGTGTTTTGGTACCGGTGGATATATGAGGGACAGCTGGAATCAATCGGATCGAAGATCGGACCGCTCGGAGTGAATCGGCGCAAGCTGCCAGCCGGCCGAGTACCTATCGGCGGTACCTGTGGGCATGAGAGGACTCTGCTATGTGGGAAAGCGATGTGGGAAGAGGCCTGAGTAGGTAGCCTTGCCGTCCGAGACCTCCGAATAGCCGACGCTGACGATTATCCACCAGACGGCCGATGGAGAAGAAATATCAACAGGGAAACGTGCATTAGAGTGGATAAATAGGTTGAGGGGTTTCAGCGGATTTAGGAGTTTGGGTTACGGACTTAGGAGTTAAATGTTCTTGGTTGTTTTTCAGGGTCTCGGGCATGCCCCGAGTGTATTCTGTATTATTAGTAGACTGGGTCCTCGAGACATAAGCGAGGGATATAAATACTGTGTCATTCACTGACTAGCCAAACCATCATCGGCGAAATCAGAGTCTTAACAATATAAATCGTTGATACGCGAGTTACAACTTTATTTGACTATACTTTCTGAATTACTTTACTCTATCGTGACTTCGAACTCTACCTGAACTATTACGTCGAAGACGGTCGGACATCATACGCTAACTCTAGTGAATCTTTGTTGATAACGTAGCTCGCGGGGCCCGTATCGGATCAAGGAGAATCATACTCGACGTTGACTGAAGAGACCTTGGAGATTTCTACCTTTGTAGCTGTTAGCCGAACTCTGAGCTCTGCGTAGTGTACTCTTGCGGTCTGGTACGCATCCCTCACAGCAGCTGCCAGTCGCAGGGTGGGATGTGCGGTAGATCTGGACGAGGTCGTTATCAAACAGGTGAATGCCCTTGAAACGTTGACGAGTGCTCTGGAAGCGTAATTGACAACGATAGGTCAGAAGTCTACACTCCCGAGTCCGTTCGCACTTGATGCACGAGGTTAAAGGGCGCCTGGCGGATTCGACCATCTATGGGCTTGGAAAGCTCTCGAGTCCTGAGGCGAGGGCTGCTCAAGTAGAGTATCTTTTAAAGAATGATCGCTTCTTGAGCCCTGCGCAGCATTACGAGGTATGATCAATCCCTAGAGAGCACCCGGGGGTGCTAAGAGAGCACTCGGGTGTCAATGACCAGAGAGCACTCGGGTGTCAATGCTCGGAGAGCACCCGGACACCCGGAATGCTTGGAGAGCACTCGCGAACGCTGCTAACAGATACTAGACCTACCGTCTACGGTTTCTTGCGCCAGAGATTATCGACATATTGTACTATAAATACTTTGATGGGGTCAGGATGCGAGGGGTAAAAGACCCCGAGTTCCTAGAGCGGATTACCCCTACATTTATTTGCCTGATATCCACTGCAATTTGGCATGGCATTCGGGCATGGTCAACGGGAACATACGTGAAGCCTGACCATTTCCAGTCACAGAATGAGAGTGTTGTCAGTAAGCATCCCTGATCCCCTTACAGCTATAGCGAGTGCTTTGAGAGCAGTAACAGATGCTCCCAGAGCTATAGTGGATTCGCGCGCTGACATTGCACACGAGTAGAAACGTTCAATAGGATGAGCAACACATGGAAGGGGAGGAGTAGGCAGAATCAGGAGGCAACGTTGGAGGTGATCAAGGATAACCTCCGGGAGAAGGTATGCTATAGATGGGTGCTACAATGGCGGAGCGCTCTTCTGCATACGGAGGCTAACCTTGATAGATACGAGAGAAGAAGGGTATCACTATTGAGGTGATACCGGAAGATGGATTTAGCGAGGACGACGAAGCGTTAGCGGCGGATCTTGCGGCATTCCGGAATGCTCGGAGAGCACCCCCGAGTGCTCCAGGGGATATCTCCGACAACGGTGGCGGCCAGGAAGAGGTGGTTCAGGCTCAACTTCGGGGCATTGAAGCGGAAGAGGAAGGCGAGGAGGATGAAGATGAGGATCCCGAGGGAGGGGAGGAGGAAAAGGATCTGTAGGGCACCGGCGAGTGCTTTGGAGCGCAATGGCGAGTGCTTTGGAGAGCAGCGGCGAGTGCTTTGGAGAGATACCTATATACCTGTATTATATTCGATTGGCGATTTCAAGACGCTTGTAGTGTTAGTATTTAGTAATAGAATCACGGTTTTGGATGCTCTGCAAAGCAGTGCCTACTAAAGCAAAGAGTAGTATGCCTGGTAAAAACATGGCGCTGAAAGGTAAAATGCGGTGCGTCGGGCGCCGCTGGAGCAGTCGGGAGTGCTCCAGAAGCATTAGTGATATGCCCAGGAGTCGTCAGAGAGGTTCAGGAGCGGACAAAACGCTTCCTGAGGCGTCGCGAGAGCTCCAGGAGCGTCCAGGAGATAGGTAGTAGTCTCAGGCGAGAGAACATTCCGTCGGGAGAGCGTCAGGCGAGAGAGCATTGCGTCGGGGTAAGCGTATCACTGTCGGGGCGCATTGGGAGGGCTAGTGCGCGCCAGGGCGCGCGAGTAGCCTAGTGCGCGCCAGGGCGGAATGCTAAGCGCCAGGGAGCGCCAGGAACGCTCTGCTGCTTCTCTGGAGAAGCAGTTTGTCTACCGAGCGCCCTGGGCGCCTCGAGCGTCCAGAGCATCTGGCGGAGGTTGCGGGTTTGCTGATGAACCTCCCCGACATCCCTGCGAAGGGCTGGACTTCCGTCTCTCATCCTGCGACTCGAAAGAAACTTCGTTTCGAGTAGCACTGGTTGATAGTAGGTTGCACGCTCCAGTCACCTGCTCGTGAGTTTTCTGACCCTAGTCGCAACCTTTAGCTTTTGACGGTTGTGGTTCTTGTCTTTTTGTCGGCCTATCTTTTATGGCGTTATTTTTTAGCCTCTTTGGCGGTTGTTGCGATATGTTTGGTCTATCTGTTTTGGGTGGTTTGACAGTTGTCCTGGTCATCTTTTGGGATTAGTCTTATCTATTTTGGTCTTTTGGGGTTAGTCTTATCTTTATTGGGTCTTTTGGGGGTTAGTCTTATCTATTTTGGGTCTTTTGGGGTTAGTCTTATCTTTATTGGGTCTTTTGGGGGTTAGTCTTATCTCTTTCGGGTTATTTGACGGGGGTCCTTTTGGTTTAGGGTTAGTGATATCTGTTAGGGTCTTTTGGCGCAGCATGTGAGGTGAGTTAGGTCTTTCGATGCTGGTTGGGGTCGTTATAGATTCGTCTGATCATTAGTAGTATACTGTTATTAGGAGCGTCACTCGACCGAATACAATACAGTGATGAGTATGTTGAGCAAAAAGACGTAGCCGACGCCAAGCAAGTGCTTAGTCATCTGACAATCCAAGTCGCGTCCGACCTCATCTCCTCTCCTCTATCCAATCTGAAGGCGAGTACACAATCTCTGTTGCTCGCTTGGCCTATGACGACTCTAGTAAACGGACTGGATCGATGGAACACAAATAGCAGTAAAGCCCGGACAGGAAGGGTGCGGAATCGAAGCCTTTTTCGTCTCCTGCCATTGCCCACCCTCCGGGAACGCGAGCTTGCTGGGGACGCCAACTCGGACTTGAGAGGGTTTTGACTTGACCGCCCTCGACTACCCGCATACGATTTAGTGAAACGGCGTGAATCTGTATTATGGTGGAGTTGAGGCTAACCCTTGGATTTTAGGTTTTCTACTAGCATGGCGACTGAATGTCCGTCATTTGTCTTCGCGTCGTTGGCCTATATCTATCGGTCGGTGTACGTTTCGAATCAGACCTCAGTAATCTGACCAGAAGGCGAGTAAACAATCTTTGTTGCTCGTTTAGCCCATATGACTCTAGTCGCGTGGACCGTTTGATTAGCTGTGTAATACCCATGCCAAAAAGCAGTAAAGCCCGGACAGGAAGGGTGCGGGATCGAAGCCTTTTTCGTCTCCTGCCATTGCCCACCCTCTGGGAAGGCGAGCTTGCTGGGACGCCAGCGTTAGTCACGCGACTGAAACCGACGGATCACGAAATACCAAGGGTATTGCGTCGGGGGGATGGGACGACTCCGTTCGAAAAGCTGTATACCCATGCCATTAAGCAGTCGAGCCCGGACAGAGTGATGCGGGAATGAAACTATCGGTCGGAATGACCGCTGCCTGCCAGTCACTCTTCCAGGAGACGAGCTTCTACCAAGACGAGCCCGGACAGGGTGATGCGGGAATGAAACTATCGGTCGGAATGACCGCTGCCTGCCAGTCACCCTTCCAGGAGACGAGCTTCTAGAAGACGAGCTTGCTGGGGACGCCAGACTCGGACTTGAGAGGGTTTTGACTTGACCGCCCTCGACTACCCGCACACGATTTAGTGGAACGGCGTGAATCTGTATTATGGTGGACATATTTAGGCTAAACCTTGGATTCCAGGAGCTCGCAACAAATCGCGGGACATATCTCCTAGCGTCGTTTGCCTCTAGCTATTGGTCCGTGTACGGATCAATGACATCGCGGCAGAAGTTGCCCTCCGAGTCATCTCCCCACTCCCCCTTCCCAAAACTCTCTTATAAAGTTGGTACGTTGCACTGCCCATCCTACCGACAGACATCCTTGACAATGCCTCAGCGAGAGAGTCAGTTTCATTTGTCTAACTCCTCCGGCCCTCGCAAAACACCTACAGAGAAACTTCCTCCCGTCGGAACACCAGGTCGTTTAGCAGGGACAGACGACCGACCACCCAAAGACATGTACGATCTTCACAAGAGATTCCAAGCACCTTTCCACATGACTCAGCCAGACGATTGCCTACGAGATCGTCACAGGCGCGAGGACAAGAAACGGAGTCTGAAGACGATGTCTCCGAATACGGGGACCCATCAGAAAGAGCTTCACAGATTGATTTACAGCTTCATGGCGAGATGTATTTGACAAAAGACGGGAGAGTCAATGCCCGACAACCTACGAGCCCGCCACTCTCAAGCCTACCACCCCAGGAGTCTCAATTTCAGCAATCCTCGTCGAGGGATACGTTACCGTCGGCCGCACGAAATAGAGAATCTGACGCGAACCAGCCGCATGAAACTTTTTATGCCTCCCCCGGGCGTGGTAATAGGTCTCCTACCCGTCGAAACGCCCGAACTAGTCAGACACATACTCACTCCGGTCATCAAGATTCTGAGTCTATTAGAACATCGTCGGGGGGGACCCGCCCCGAAGCCCGTCGTCAACTTTCTGAGCTTTCTAGACCGGCGTCGATAAGAGCCCCTTCCGAAGTCGTCAGGAGTACAGATTATGCTAGTGGCAGCGGCGGTGGGTATTCTGGAGAGTCGTCGTCACAAAATCTACTAGCGCCGGTAGACCCTACCGATCCCAACAAAACCAGAGCTCTCCGACATCGTAGCTTAGGGCAATTCGACATTGAGCTGAGGACTCTAATCGAAAAAGCTGGGTGGCATCTCACCAAAGAGACACTATTCAAAAACCCGATGCCCTCGGTATTGGAATTGGCATCCATGGTCAGAAATTCATGGGATTTTGCCAGGGCGGGAACCGACTTTCCAGCGGAGTTGTCGACCGGCGTGTCCGGGCAGGTGAGGTTTTATCATCAACGGACTCGTTCACACATGATGGAGAAGGCAAAGGCGGTAATCGCGTTATATTACGGCCTAGCCGGCATGACCGGCGAGCAAGCAAAAGCCCGTGTCGATTACCTCCTGACAGATGACCGTTTCAATTGTGATCCCACTCATTACGAGGTATATCCACTGTTCGTCCAGGGGCACAGATTTGGTACTAACGTCTTTAGCCCGCGGAGTGGCATTTCGCCGCACCTCAAATACCGCGTTTTATCGTCTACGTCTACTATAAGACCAATCGTGGGATTGCCGTCAACCATCCGGAATTTGAGAGTTGTATCAACCCGTCTTTTATCTGCCTGGTTTCTACTGTACTTTACCATGCGCTGAGAGTCCACGTAATTGGAGGCAGCAACTGGAAGAATGGTGTCTTCAATAAGGACTATTGCGGCGGTGAGCACCCCGTCTTTCATCTGGTCAGGTTATCGACGGGCATCATTATTGACGGTGGTGCTAGTAATTTTCGAGAGGCACATGCGCACATTGAAGAGGTCCTTCCCCGACGATGAGACGTCAAATCTAGTACTGAAGGGGATTCGACACGAGATATTGAAACGGATTAAGAGGACAAACTGCTGCAGGATTACCGCTACGGAGAGCAGGGAGGCAATTATTGACCCTGGAGTAGGCAGCTTTTTGGAGGGTCTCCGATCCAAGCTCAGTACGGAGACTGACGACGACGATATGGGGTCCGACGAGGCAGGCGACCCGCCGTTTGACGATGACGATGGGGAGGAGGGCAATGTCACTCCACCTACAGTCGGGGACTACGTAGTCGATGCAGAAAGCCAGATAGATGAGACTATTGGAACAATTACCGGGATTAATGTAAATATTGAAAACGACGTAGAGAGAGATGTCAGTATGACGCAGGGCGGAGAAGAGCGCTCGGGAGAAGTGGTCAGAAGACGAAGAGGGAGACCGCGCAGGAGCAAAGTACAAAGGGTCAGATAGCTCTCACCTAAATAGACGAACTAGCTAGAGCGAGGGGCGTCAAAAGACAATGAATCAATAGACAGTATCACCTAAAGAAAATTCAAACGTAGAATCAAGGGACGGAAAGACGAAGAGTTTAGACCAAAAGACGAGATATAGTTGCCGTAAGACGAGATGTGCGAATGAAAGGACGAAGAGTGTGAACCAAAAGACGGGATAGCTGTCGGAAGGCGCAGATTAGTGAAAAAGGACGATATAAACTGTCAAGAGACAGAGAGTGCGAGCGGAAAGACGATATGTAGTGGTCGAGATAGGCAGGTTGAGGACATAAGTCGGCCAATATGACGTAGGTAATTAGACTAAAGGCGAGGTGACGAGGGCGTAGGACGACTTCCATAGACCAAGATGCGAGCATAATGGTAGAGGGGCTACCTCCTATGTCCAGAAGACGAGCTCGTCTTTAGACGTCGTGACGACGTCTTTGAGGGATGGGAGAAGGTTTTCGTCTTTAGCCTTGGCGACGTCGTCGGTTGCCCAAGAGACGCAGGGCTCTCGTCGCGGGGCACCCAGGTGTCGGTATGCAGGTAAGAAATCGCTTTGTGTCGTCTGGAGCGTCTAGGGCGTCTGGGGCGCCCAGGCGTCACAAGACGAGACTTCATTTTTTGCTGATGTACCACCGCTACACCGCTTTTCTCTAAGTGTCTTTCTGTTACGGGGATGCCAAGCATATACGGGAGTAAGAGAAAAGGCCAGTAGATACCCCAATACCCTCTGTACGCTAAAGTCAACTCCGGTTCGCACCCACGAGGTGCGGTGCTGTAACGGAGCCAGTTCAACTGTCTGGTGTATGAATACACACAGGGCCCGGTTACATGCTGAGAGTTATTGTTAGAAGCCAGTTGCACGGTGATATGCAAGTACCGGCA